TGTCGCAAATTGCACGTGGAATACACTAGGCGTGTTACATCCATATAACTGGCTTGGAATCGATTCGCAATTTTCTACTCGGTTTCCGCATTTTCAGTATTTTTGTGATACTTCTGTAACACCTTACATGTTACAACAGGGCCCTTAGGTTCTACGGTCTGTGCATTTATACAAAGCTTTTTCAGTTGCGACAATGCATTCTTGTCTTTCGAACCCCCTACATCCGGCTAGTTCCTCGCTAATCCTCAACAATCCAGTTCGAATTGCCCGTGAATTGTATTATGTTTTTGTTTGCCTAATTTTTTTGCCAATCATTGATGAATTTCAGAGCGCTGTGGCGTTCAAGAAACAAAAACTTGTCCACTCAGCGTTAATCTTCGTAACCTTTCTCTTTGTGAACTTAGTTCCTCCTGGAGTAAGTTAACTATTGTCTCTAAAAATCAGCAGTATTTCCCCGCCAGATTTCGTCAGCCAGCGGCACTTACACCTAAAGTCATTCAATTTTGAAGTCTGCCGGAGCCGTTTGTAACAGTCTAATAATTTTTCTTTGTTTGCAAAGAGGAAGTTTAGCATCAGTCAACTGTACTTAGCAAATAACTTATCTTTCCTACTGAACTAAGTTATTGTAATATATGAATATAGTATAGGACACCGCTTAGGAACATGCATCTTAAACAGCGTCTGGTCAATGGTTAATTTATATACACGTGTATCAATGAAGTTTAGGGGTTTGGCATTCAGCGTTCTTGTCGAATGTGATTTAATTTGCCAACCTATTGATTTTTTTTATTGCATTAAGCTCTATTTTAGCTCGTTGATAAAAAACCATTAACAAGAAGGAAAGTTTAGCCGTTTAACTAGTGACTGGCCATTCTATGAAAACACCCCCGAGCATATGCGCCATCCTGTGTGAAGTTTGATGAAAAAAAAAAGCCTGTAGCGATAAAAGTTAATTCTTATAACTCCGTATATTAAACGTTTTACGTCCGGAAACGCCGTTAGGAATCGCATCAGATCACCGGCTCCCTGCATGAAAAGCTGTATGTCTGCACCTGGATTCGAACCCACACCACAACATGTACCTATGATACGTTACCCGTTACACTTGCACTGAGCCAATGATTATCGATTCAGTGAGCTCCTAGCAACTGGTCAGTTTTACGCGATCGTCTAACGTAACGAAGGTGGAAACACGCACAGTCTATGATTCATGATAATGCTCCTATTTATCATCTCTGTTATTAGATGGCTACAGGCCAATAAACAAACATATGTGAACAGACTTGACAACCCTGGTTAGACCCATAGATGCCTGTTTTAGATGATGTAGTTATCGGAGACGCTCAATCCACCCTGGTTTGTTTCTCATGGAATATCGATATTTTATGACTCAGGATATTTCACTTGATTCAGTTCTCTATTGCAGTTCTGAGACTATGTTTATGTAAAATAAGTTTGATGTAATTTTATCTAGACTGGTTAACGTACGCTTCAGATGGCTTCACAGTGACGAGCACTGCTGGGCTACTCAACAATAAAACAGCTTTTAGGTTATTCGACGACCTCCACAGTAGGATCGCACGCGTCAACAACGCCATTTGAAAATTTACCTTTTACAATAAATGCATTTGATCTATGTGTAAGTTGAATGGTGCATACTTATTTCTCAGGCATATTGGTGGTCTATTTGTCTTTCGGCACTAATCGTAGCGAGCTGACATCTTCATGAAGTTTTGCTTTATGATAAAACCATTATTTAAGAATGTTCCCGTCAATTGAAATATGGCGATTAAACCGAGTAAATACTATTTTGCGGCAAGGTTAATGCGCTCATTTTGAACCTACCAACTCATAGGTTTCCCTGAGCTAGTAGATGTACTGCGTCTCCCTATAGGCCTTTATACCGTGTTTCAAGCATGAAGTAATTGAAATGAGTTTGCTACGAAACACTTACACTATGTAATTTCTAAACGACAACTGTGACATACCGGCTTGTCAGTTATCCTTAATTATCTTCTATATAGTCGCAGCTTCTCAGTAAGGAACTTCTAACTTTTGTAAAACGCTCGCCCGCTTGAGTTGCTAATATGATAAATGAAAGCCAAAAAATCTTAATCAACTCAAGGCACAAGTACGAAAAAAAGCTATGTGAAGAGGCTGTCTCTTACACACAAGAAAAGCCATAGATTAAAAACCATGCAGTACTTTTGCATGTGACTATGTCGTCTGTATTCCGTTGTTATCATATAACAATATACGTTTTCGACCATTTTATCTTTTCTTCTTTCTTGCACTCTCTACTGGCTCGGCGACGCTTGGCTTCGTTTTAAGCTAAGGAGCGTTCGGTATGATTACGTTCATGAAGTCGGCTCAACGAGATTATCCGCTAAAACCGCTGTTGGGTCTCTTCGATATTTTCATTTTCCATTGCCACTAGGCTTATCAGTGCATCTCAGTGACCTCATCGTCATCGCATTATTGGCCATGCAATTGCTGCGCTACCCCGAACCTAAGCTCCGGTGGTAAAAAAAAGTCGACAAAACAATCAACAAAGAACAAGCGACTAGTTTATGAGGAATATGTTTCCGTCAGAAGAGGATGACACCACTTGCCAAAACTCAGCCAAAACAACAAATACCCAGCTCAGTTTCCGGCTCTCTAACACTGCACCAGGACATTGTCCTATGACGCGGGCTGTTACTCGTTTAGGGCTCCTACCCTATAATGGCTGCGCTCTAGAAGGTCGGGTCCTTGCACATAGTGAACGAGTAAATAGAACCATATCAGCCATGCAGTAGTGAAGCAATCACGGTAAACATTGATCATACTTAGTTACAATAGAATTAACATTATATATATATACACATCCATGTTTTTACGAACCATGATATGTTTTATATCGTGAATTTGCCTTGTATTATACAGTATGTCTATTTGAATCATGTGTTGTAGTGATGATAGAAGCGGCTAGAAAAGTTCCAGAATAATCGTTCCTTAAAACCGACCGAAAATGAAATGTCAATTGATCTTATCGGCTCACCCAAGTATGATGCTTCAAAAATTACGTTCTCCACCAGTAGTCAGTGTACAAGCCAGGCTAGCATATAATCTACGTTATAGCTTAATGGGCAACGTATTTGTCTGTCAATCTTGAAAACAGGCTACATTCTAGATTCGAACCCGGGCATAGACACAGGCAATCTTGAAAACACGCTACATTCTAGATTCGAACCCGGGCATAGACACAGGCAATCTTGAAAACACGCTACATTCTAGATTCGAACCCGGGCATAGACACAGGCAATCTTGAAAACACGCTACATTCTAGATTCGAACCCGGGCATAGACACAGGGTTCGTTTCGTGCTGGCAGGAGTCAGCCGTCTGTTTCGTGGGATGGCTAACGGCGATGCCGGAACCATAGCGGCTAGAATACGATGACTGCAGGCATCGATTTTGTATTTGATGAGGTACAAGTCGCGCGGTAAACAAACAAAGGTTTCGGATAAGCGCTGTACAGTAGCGTTAAAGGAAGTTAATTTCCAATTAAAGTTTTCAACCCTGATTGAAATGTAATGTTGTAATAGGCGTTTGAGAATAAGCTATAAAGAAAAATGGATTTACTTATAACATTAGAAGCTAAATTGTGATTTATTGGTGCTTTGTTAAACGTTTGTATTCACGGAAACCGTCATAGTTAGGTATGATCTATTAGAGCGGCGTTAGTTTGTTCGCGATGGAAGGCTGTAGTTACATACATTTTGTCTTATTTAATATTGTCCTATTTAAATGGCGTAAGAAACCTTGTTTCGTTAAATCGCTAGCTCCTAATAGATTGAAGGTCATAATTATGTGAGTATATTTATTTACTACATTTAAAAACAATGTTGGTTATTATATAGCGAAAAGCGGACTTTCATATGTCTTTTACTTCAGCCTATTCTTGATTTATTTACCATAAAGGTAATAGCCAAAGTCTTACGTGAAGACCGTAATGTTTAGGATAACAACACTTTTGTTAGCAGTTCCGTTGATGTTCCGTTCAGCAAATATCAGCTAGTTGCTGGGATTAGTCATTTATTTCTGTATAGCTACGAAAAAGCTGTTGCCAAGCAATGTTCGGCTTTCTACGACGGGACCTTTTTCCAACCAACGGGACTTTTGTAGTGCAATCTAGTGTAACGGGCGCCGTTGAAGTTAGCCAGTTTTTAAGCGACGTCAATTCGCATTGCAACGGTCGTCCTTTTTTCTAACTTAAAATGCTCTTTGTGGCCATGTCTGCATCATTGTCCACAGCATGTCTGAGCAAACCAGAACTTTGCAGCAGGACATATAAAAGCTCACCCGTCCGTGGTTTGTAGACAACAGGTTCATATCTATGATCCATCTTAGCATGGCCATTCTTCGAATACCTTTTCAGTCCAAGTGTATCAGCATTTTGGGAGGCCCCCAATGGCGCTCTCGAAGCCGGCGGGAAAATGTCGGAATCTATATGGCCGTCATCGCGCAGCCAATTCTAAAGAAATACGTTACGCATTTATGCCCCTCTAAAACCTCGAGTGCACCTCTTTGCAACGTTTTCGAGCATTATTTGATTGTCACGACCAACAGGTTGGCATTAGCGGTACCTCAGCCCTCAAAACAGATTACGCTAAATTTAGCTGTTCGTCCCTTCAGCCCTCAAGATCTGAATATATCCTACAATTTCCTACAGGCGCCAAAAGCAATAACACCGCATAGCGGAGGAAGAAGTGGTGTTAGACTATATCCGCATAACTTTGTCTCGATATATATATATATATATATATACAAACAAGTAGACGTTGGGGCATTCTTTCACGCAGGTGGCTATTAGCTATCTTACTTAAACTCGTATAGGTAACAATCTAAGGGCTTCCTAGGATTCTAACGCTATTCCGTATCTGAGCTGCTTCGTTTCAGTCAAGGGAAAAGTAAAAACATAAAAGGAAAATAAACATATCTGCATATTTCTATTTTCAGAATATCCTTCCGGCAAACATTACCCAGGGGGAAGCGTTCTGCATGATCTCGTCTTGTATCGACGTACGTATTTTCGGTGGCCTGTTTCATCACTTCATATGAAAGTATTAGATTAACTTAGGTATCTAAAGCATGTAGTCGATAATATAGTAGATGTATAATATCCTATTTTCTCCGTGACGTGCTTCTTATGTATCAAGAACAGCTGTCAATCGTTCATATGGTAGTGTTGGGTATTGACTTTGTCAAGTATTCTGCGGTCATCTTTATGTAATATTACAGAAACTGAATTATAGATTATAGATAAACAATTATTTTAATAAATTAGTTCGCCTGTCTTAGTTTAGTGCTGCACTAAATCAATTTGATATAGTCCCTGATATTGCCGCCAACAGCATACGAATTCTCTAAATTCTCTAACGTTCGAGTGTCCGAACGACATGTCCTGTAACATTATTTTTTTGTTCTGAGAATAAGATAGTAAGAAATAAGATCATAAGCACCGACAACTCTGCAAATCTTAAGGTGCAGTGGCTTACGTCCTGGTACTCTAGAGAGTCTAGCTGAAAGATGAGCACGTTAGCGAAGAGTGCGAAGGTAGATAAGAACAAAAGACAAAAAGGTTTCCGAACGACTTTTCTTTTGGTGACAGTCTGGGTTCTGTTTAGCTTGAAAGCTGTTGAGATACAGCACGATCTAGTCGTAATACCTACCTTTTGCTATTCGTCTACTCTAGTCATTCGTTTCATCATTGTTGTGCGTTGTTTGGGCTTCGTTTCGTCTTTTCTTGTTTGTTTTGTTCCGTTTGTTACGGTTATTAGAACAAACTAAAAGCGGATGAAGAAGACAGGGGATCGTAACCGCGTCTATAATATGGCGCGTTCAAGCCCACGTAACCGTAACCGCGTCTATAATATGGCGCGTTCAAGCCCACGTAACCAAATAAAAGAAGAAGAAGGACTGGTAGTCGATGAAGTGGGCACAGATTTAATATTCTTACAGAAGGATCACTAGATGAGTTAATGCACTAGAAACGTAGCGTGCTGCTAGGTATCTTTAACATATTAAACGTCAGCTTCGCCTCCGCCGTCTCCTTCTTTTTTTTTCGGATTTTTCGAATTCTGAAGAAAAAAACTTCATCGGTTTTCGTGTTGCTATACGATTAATACTAATTGAGTGTTTGGCAGGCGAAATCTCTTAAGCACCAGCTTTGATTGATATAGTTAGTCAGAAACGTAGCAGAAGGGAAATCGTAGTGTTCCCGATGGAGAAAACCCCTTTGGTTGCAAAAAAACGGAAGCACCCAAGTAATTTACAGTACGTAGCCTGGTATTGCGTATTTGAATTACGCTTTATTTTAAAATAGTTAACTTCAACATCTAAAGTCCACGCTAGACATGGGTATGCACTTTACGCTTACGAGGGGCCAAATATAGGGTGTCTGCTTAAATGATGTTACCGAGACAGAACGTAACAAATATACAGCGTATATGTATAAATTGCATAGCAATATTATGATTCTACTTAGGCAGACAAATATTTATTCATATACATCTCATTTTTCAAGCTAGCTGCAAAGCGGATACCTGTTAAAATTTAATTATTGATAAACAATAATTTTTTCGAAGACCAAATAGCAGGTATATAAAATATGGCTGAGACTGCAATGTATATCTCATGTTCTCTTAATTCAAGGTTAGTTTTTTGGAACTTTTATGGAAAACACGATATCAAAAGAAGCCTACTCCGTCATTAGCGGCTTCCAGTGGCAAGAACGGTGACTATGTAGACTAACTGGAAGAAGCAAAATGTGCCTGAGAATAACGAGGAATAAAAGACTCAAAGGAATAAAAAGATACGTGAAGAAGAAAAAAGGACAGATTAACAAAGGCAACATCATTTTCCCAAAAATTAATTCTCGTTTTTTCTGGGTTACCCACTTAGCAAGTATTTCCGTCCTAGCGAGAGTTAGCCTTATACCATTGTAGTCCAATTTGTGTGGGTTGCTGCCAGAGCCTTCCTCCGTTCCTTCCAGAGCCTTCCAGGTTTCACCGGATGAACCTTCTTATCGCGCAGTCCTTAAGCCAGCGACCGAACGAATATTGCCAATACCGCCGAGGCACACCTAGCAAGGCGGCGTCCGCCAGTTCCTTAGGTTCAGCATGTTTCCGATAGTAGACAGGCCGATGCCTTTCTAACTTCTATGCGTTTTGAGACGCATTTCTCATCAGTAAGTCGGCGCGCTAGATCGCCGAGCAACGTTGCCTTTAGGGGGAAAAGTTTTCGTAATTAACTCAGGCAGGCGACTGTTTGTCCCACTGTTGTTGACTTGGTTCGTGACATATCCCTTTCTTTCTTTTCCCAAGACAAAAGCATTTTACGTAATACAGGTCAATCGGCCCCTGGAATCGGTTATGAGGATAACCGATGTTACAACACCACTGAATACAAGTGCAGCAGCGGTGGCCGTCGGCAAAAAGGCAATAGACCTTCGTTCGAGAACAGGTGGGCTTGGCGGAAGACTAGGAGAAAAAACGCGCTGACATAATTGTTTTACTTGAAGCTTCAAGAAAGCGGATGTTGCTATTGCTTACAAAAAGGGGAAAGGCCAAAAAGCAAAGGCTTTTGTTGAAGCATCATGAAAAATCGACTCATTAACGGGTACCGGAAAGCAACATGCGTTTATGCAAAGTCTTGATTCGTTTAAATTACAGCTAAACCTTGAGCGCACATAACAGTATAGAACTGTGTAATCTTACTTTTTTTAATATCTGTAACCTTTAAAATAGGTGTTACCATGTTCTACAAAGTAGCCTATGCATACAACACATCGAGCCTCAGTCGGGGTAATCTAGTTAGCTTGCAAATTTCTAGAATTTGGAGGCGGTGTGACTGAATTGCCATCGATCACTTCTGTAGACGAAGTGCTTCTGAAGGACGGATCGTCTCGTGCGACACCATTAAACTGTAAGGAGTGGGTATATCCTAAAACCAATATTACATAATATCAATACTTGGTGAAATATAAGGTATCCTATTAGAATCGACTCAGCTATTGTTTCTTCCAATATTCAAGTCTACTTCACATTGTTTTAGTTGAAAAATAGCTGAAGTGCCTAACTACGCTCAAGTTGCCAAAGCAATAACAAGTGGGCTGTTCAGTCCTGACCGGGCTTCATCCTCGACGTTCGAAACGGTGGCTCGTAGATGATAAGAATAATAAAAAAGAAAAAAAAGATTTAAAAAAAAGTCTACACTGATTTCGGCCAAATTTGGTTTAGAGTAAAGAGTTGCATAGGAAACGATATCCAACAGATATGTGTCTATATTGGTAAGCACGTTATTAGAAAACGCTGCTTATTAGCAAAACATGTTGGCGTCTAAATCTGGTAACTTTCACAGATCATAACCCGCTAAAACGTCACATAATTCTGTACCACTTCGTTGTTTTTAAAGGGTATGAAAAGAAAGCTAATTTAAACAATAATTATATGCAGAGAAGATGCAAGAGATAATTGTATTGATACATGCACAGTACATGCGGCATGCGTCTAAATATTTAATTTTGCGTCATTGACGGTATCACCGTCAAGATAATAATTACAAATAGATAATAGTAATAATAATATACGATATTATGATATAAGGGAAAGGTAATACACCGGCAACTGTGTTCATCGATGAGCACAAAGCTACTCCTGAAAATTGGCGACCGACCTCCTTTAAACAGACTGACAAAAAAGATTTATTTTCAAAAACAAATGTTTTGACACAGTGGTTTCTTGAATACACACTGAAAATATCGAATTTTTTTGGCGGGCCTTTTGCTGAATAGAGAAAGCAAGTGCGAAAAACGGAGGAAAAAGAGACGACCTAGATATCGAAGCGTTGAAACTTTGTAAATAGAAAAGCAAAATAGAAGCCGGATTTTCTAAATACAGGCCCCCAAAGGGTTCGTAGTGAAATCCAAATATTTGCCAGACTGCATAAGTTCTCATGATATGAACATGTACGATAAAGTGCAGAGGGACTCGTCGTTGTGAAACAACCCACAACAAGTTAGTAGACAAATAGGTATACAAAAAAACATTTTACAACTACTTTTGAAGTGCGAAGGCGAACAACTTATTGAAATTAAAAAAATATATTTCCTTTACTTTATTTTCTATCTGTTTCCATTATAGTTGTTGAGCAGCACAGATTAGACAGGAGTAGAGCACGATAGAGAAAATACCTACTGGAATAACGCTATTACAATACAACAAAACTATGCGCCTCAAAATGGCTGTCTCCGCCATTTTTAAACGTTTCAGAATCCACGGCAGAACCCACAACTGATCGGGCGTAGGAGACGTGAGACCAACGATGTTGACGCCATCGAGGCTGACGAGGATAATGTAGCCTTTGAAATCTTCGTAAATGTGCAACTTGAGGACGGAGCCGACTATGATGACTAACCATAGTAGAGATCACTAACCAAGTTCGACTAAAGCCTTCAACTAGTAACTTTGATAGTTCAGGCATCTACCGACCAGAATGTATTTGGCACAGAACCAACATCTAGCAAAATGTAATTAACTATAGTTGATTTTATAGGTCAACGCTAATTTTTTTCCCCTATACAATTTGCGGAAAAGTCAACAGTTAAGTAATTATATCGCTAATTAGATCTCACAAAAAAAAAAACGATAAAATTAGCGAGGTTCTAACGCTTCGATTTTCAGGTCAGTGACAGTGCAGCTATGTATTAATGAGCAAAATTTGAAGTAAAAAAGCTTAACAGAATATACTCATTATAACGTTTTTGCACTCGATAATTTCAACGTGTAAGTTGTGAATCACTATCCAAATGTGGACATTCAATCTACATACAGGAAGGATGTAAATACTTTAGCAAGGAACCTGCCACCGCAGCCAAAAACGCGTTTGGACAACTGCATGCTACAGCCTTAACATGAGGTCCGCTGTGACTATTGGTTTTTTGTTTTGATTTGAATCGGCCTTTGATCTCAGCAACATTCGCAACTCGAGTTGACCAGGCCGATGTCTTGCGTAAACGTGCGTGGTTCAGGCCAGCTTATGTTGAATAGGACATGAGTAAACCCTAACCTCACGGTCAGACAAACAAATGAATCGACATTATTAGCAGCAATGCATATAATAAATAATGCAGCTTATCAGATAATCTTACGAAGGGGTACGCTTAACTACCGTAAATGTTATTGGAACAGGTAAACAAGCCTGCGAGTTGTTTACTCCTTTATAAATACCACTTGCGCATAGCTTACTATTTCGAGATTTAAAAAAGTCTGTGAATTTATGCGACTGCGGATATGTACTTTGAATAACTGCGCGCCAAAATAATTCCCAAATCCCAAAGGCGTGTCCTTTACCGAACCAGAAAACGTGAAACCTCCGCCGAAAACTTCCAATGGCAATTTACATGGTCGACCGGCTAATCCGCAAGGGTCGGCCTCTCGGCATGTCACTTCATGATATACTGGATGCGAACACCTGTCCATGACCTGCTGCGTGTTTGCTTGATATTTTAATACTATACTCGTATAAAGCTTGGGAACAGCGCTCTAGCCATAATCATTGCTGCTCTATTATTAATGTTTCTGCTAAGTACAGTTTCAGAATCTCATATAATTATACTCGTATGCGTTTAGTTTTGGCCCCGCTGATTTCACCAAACCATTTTGGCATTTTGTGCGTTACCACATCTCTGTCGCCCACAAATAAGCCCATCCATGAAGAAAATACCACTAGTTTGGAAAAAAAAACACCGCAATAAAGTAAACATCTCAATATAGATATTCTTAATTTTTTTTTTAAATTTAAATTCGGTTATAATTAAAATGATAACGGAATGGCACCTGAATAGGCTAACATTATTCTAATGTGAATCCTAACGTTACGGTTTAACAGACGCTAAAACTTACGCTGGAATGTAACGATTCATTTAGAACAAAGAAGAGGCATCTAAAATGCGTTCTGGCACGCCCGTCGGCCGTCTGACCGGTGTCCGTCTCCGTTATTGATAGCGTCACTCGTGAATAGTTTGGTCAGCATTCTAAAGCAAAATACCACTTGGAATTATTGGAAATTGGTCCTATTTAGTTCTTAGTTATTTTTGTGAACGTACAACTGCTGCAGTGCAGCCGACAATTGAGCCGCGTACGGTACAGTGGCTCTATTTTTAGCGAACTCCTCAGGCTTCCTCCTATAGCCTAGTCGCCGGACCGTCGCACATACCACAAGGCGTGTTAGAAGGGGTCGCTTGATCTTGTGATCAATACAAATAGTGTCGCCTCTTGTTGACGTCTACATGTAAGTTTATAGATGGACCCAGCATCGTAAAGGTGTTATGAATAATCCCCTTGGATGATGCTGGTGTTTAACAACTCTATGAACTAACATTTCATGGAAATTATTTGCTGGAGAAAATTAGAAGTTAGTCTAATAAAACTTGAAACTTTTTTCATTGGCATATATAAAATCATAGCATTTTATCAAAGCAGAATGTCGAAAAACATCATTTTGAAAGCAATTATTGAAGCTTGTTTTTCAGAGATGAGAGAAAAAAAAAAATAAGAAATACGTTAAGTTCTACGGCCAGCACGAGATCCTATTATACCGACCGCACGGGCAAAACACCTTCTAGAACCACAGTTCCAGGCTTTTTCGAAACTGCTGCCTGCCATATAGTTGTCGGTATTTGCATTAAAATACGAGCAGCCACGACTGTACTATGTAACAATCCAGCCAATGATGCTTCTACGAAAGCCTAATGGTTAACTTAAGTACGTAGTTTTTTTGAGATTTTTTTTCATTATGTCGTTACTGATAAAAACAGTGTTGTAATAATGAGTTACTTGAACTCAGCTTGTGTCAATGTTGCAATTAATCCGCCTGATGACCTGGTACTCTGCGTATTCTTCGTTATATGTAATCATCGCCTCAAAGCCCTTTTAGTCCAACTTACACGCAGTGTTTCTAATGATCGACCTCGTGCAAGTACGCGACGATCTCAAATATGACAAACAAGGACACCATTTTTTGATGTGTAGCCATGGGGGTAAAGGAAGCCTTGACCAGGTGGTTTCCGCAAACAACACTTGACATGTGCCTGCTGCGGTAGAGCCAGAATCCTTTGTCATGTAGACCTTAATGAAACGCTAAAGGTATCTAGATGGGAATTCATAGCTCGTAAATGTTCAATTATCTGCCACATAAATATTGACCCTTAAAGACCGTCAAACCCTCGCGAGATAAAATGCACAATGCTAACAAACAAGGTCGCTTGTTTTGAAAATAAATGAAACATCCTATAGTTGTTAGTAACTTGAATCTACTAAATTGGAAAAAGCACAAAGAAACGTACCTATTCTAGACTAAACAAAGTGTGACTGAAGCAAAGAGAAGCCAATTGTGTAGGTGCGCTTTATATCTGATCTTGAAAAAAGAGTTCACAAAATTTATTAAGGAAAAAATAAAACGAAAGAGATCGGGAGTACATCACCCAGGCAAGAAAAAATTTTCCCAAATCGATACCGAAGTATATATTATACATAAGTAATACAAATATGGTCAGTTGCCATTTTTCCTAGCACCCTAGTAAACTTGAGCAAATTACACCGCAAATCAGAAATGGCCCCCGCGAGTATAGTCAATATTGTGATCAGTGTTGTCCTGGATACAGACCAAATAGTGCTTGAAGAATTAGTTGTAGTAGGAAGTCGTAAGAACCCCAGAGCGTAAAACAGCAAGCCTGGGGGTGTCATTCAGTCACGGATTTTAACTACTCACATGTTCCAGGCGGCAGCAGTCTGATTTTGCAAGCACGTACCATATCAACAGCTCCACCTACGGTACGATGGCGGCGGATTACGGCCCGATCTAGTGCTTGTTAGGCTACAAACAGTATTACCCAACACTACATCTACATCGAAAGTGTACGCACAGTCTGGCCTCTACGGAAGAACCCGCAACCCGGCAAGCCTATTTCTTCGTTTACATCGTTTTCCTATATGCGTTAATCTGCCTTTCCCAAAACATTTACTCACAGACACATATATTTATGATTATATATGTAGATAGGTAATATATACCCGCGTCATGTGCCATTCGTCCGTTTCGCCGTATGAGAAGTAAATGGAACTATGAAACCTGAGGAGAAAGGGCTAATGCTGATGTGTGGATAGAGGGGCTCTCTGTAAGGCTTTTAGTCTTGCTTTATCCGGCTTATAAGAAATGCACGCCTCGTTCAGATTCAGATAGACCAGCCGCTTCAGCAGGGCACTGACCCAACCAAAAATAGAAAATAGGAACTGTATAAAGTAGAGCTTTTCCCCACTGAGCAAAAAAGAGCGGTTAGAAGATCCAACCAGATTGGACTGTGAGATGGGTGTCTGAACGGCTTGCATTTTTCTCTAGTCCGCCCGATCGACCATTCATCCGTTGATTTCCTGATGGCTGGCACGGTGGGGTGTCGACCGAGGCAGAGAATTCCATTCCTGCTATCCCGGAGTCCTTCTTCAAACGGTTAAACTGGCGACGGACGCGGACAGGAGGTGCCCATTTATAGGACTCTCCGCAACACCCAGTCCCTTATTATTAGACTGCCTTGCCATCACCCCTTGCTCCTCAAGTGAACCGCGCTTCCGAAGCTCCCTTGCACTTTTCCATGCCCGGCCTTCTCAAGGTGCAGCATTTCAACTGCATGCGGCCTCGTTACCCTTGAGAATGTGTGCGCTTTGTTGTGTACGTTTTGCCTGCTTCATTTGTGTTAGAGCAATGTATGAAATGAGATGGAGGAGAGGACCTTAGCGCTTTTGTTAGGGAAAAAGACGACCTGAATGAATAAATGAATGGACGAAATAGAAGGAGGGTAGGGTGCTCTGCTATGGATGAAGGCCATGGAAGAAAAGGGCTGTTTGCAAAGGGGTCGGGGGGCAAAAACGAAACAGGCTTGGCAGCTCAATGCAAAAGCAGTGCTCGTGAGAGGGACTAGGCACAGTGGTATGGAAAGAAACGATAAGATTTATTACCAACATAATCATTACCAGTAGAGAAACAGCAAGGATCACCTGAAAATGCAAGGGCGCCGCTCACGCTACACTTTCTTCATAGCGCCCTCGCTCTCCTCGTGCTTCACATACTTTTACTCTATCCCTGCGCCCGCACGCTCTTGCGCAATGACTCAACCGTGCTGTGGTACGCGAGCCTTGTCCCTTTTTTCCCTTATAATCTCCTCCACACGCTACACTGTATGAACTGTATTCGAACGCTCCAGGTCGGCTGTCGATGAGATACAAGTTGAAACGGAGTGGGGCGACCGCGCGCAATTTAACTCTGCCAATGGTCCCAGATTTATATTGGATTCAAGATGACTCATCCACGCCCAGATACAAATGTACATACATCCCACGCGGATAAGCGTTTATGCCGGAAAACATACACATAGAATTGAGAATGAGACATTGGCGGGGCAGGCAAGGACCGAGGAAAAAGAAAGTGAAGGCCAACTAAATTGCAACTTCGTTATAAAGTCAAGAGCGAAGAAGAAGTAGAAAAGCAGTCCACATCCTGCCAACTCCCCCTCCCGAGAGGATTCCTGCTGGGTGATTGGCGAGGTCGGGGAGGCGACGAGAGAGATTGCCTGCCCATTTGCCAGTTGCAACAAAACAGATGGGGCAAAGCCAAGACAAGGGATAAAGGGTGGGCAAAAAGGAATGTAGCTGTGCTACCTTCTCGCGTGTGGCTATGTCGAGATAAGCTCATAGAGCTACAGTAGAAGTCACATTACTAATGTGGAGGCTTCCGCGGGTGGCTTGACTGATCCGGAGAGTGGACGGTGGTGCAATCGTTTAACCATGACGACTTTAAAAAAGCAACATGTTATACAAGATTCTTGAAATACAATATTAAATGAAGAAGTATATGAGGAACGGCTAGGAGTTTGATTTACGGAGATAATCTTTTCCTCACAGTGTGATCAAGACAACAAAAAGCTCATTAGAGGCATCTTGCAAAAAACTACTAGAGTGCCTACCTTGCACGGTAGCAAAGACGCAACTAAAAATACTATTTTTTTCAAATACGTTATAAAAATCACTAACGAATTTAGAGCACAGCGTTGCCACATAATTGCAAGATCTCCTTAGTGTTTTGAAGGCCCTAGTAAAATATAGAAAGGCTCACATCTCATCCTTATTTCGTAAATGAGTATAGACCTCAGTATGACAGCCACTTGGTTTCGAGACCGCTTCGGAAAAAATAGTTTGAAAAATTGTTAAGTAAGTTTTACTAGTATATACGTAACTTCCTCTTTTTGGAATCGATGGTGAGAAAAATGATAACGCAAAACGTTCTGAGAGTCATCTCTAAGGTTGTTCACCGTAATCGAGAGAAATTGAATGAGAACGATGAAGGGAGTATATCAAGGTCATGGAGAAGTATCCAAGATAACAAGAAGTAACCGTGCTGATTATGTTCACTACAAGTTTGTATTGATAAAAATGAAATGGAATATTTATTATATATATATATGACCGTCAAAAGTTATAATTGTCTTAATTTATTCACTACTATCTATAATAAGTTAGCTTGCTTTCGATAAACCAACCAAAATACATTGTGTTATCCCGTAACGAGTAATTAAGTTATTTACTTATTGAGTATAATCAATATTTAAGATTTAGACTTTGATAGTTTTTTTTTCGATATTAGTGTAAAAATGAGTACAACTGCTTCGTTTATAGTTTTTTGGAATAATCCTTCGTAATTTATTGGCGCCATCCGTTTCGTTAAATAGTAGCTAAATATTATTATCATTGTTGTTGTTGTTATTATTATTATTGTCGTATTTAGTATTTTTATTCGAGTCAATTTGCAGCTATGTCGCCTTAACTTTTCATGTTCCACATTCTTTAAAAGTGTCTATCGACCCCGTCGGCATGTTTTTGTTCTCGCCATCGTCACGTGAAAGAATAGTCTGGGCCCTGGGTGTTTATTTGGCTTTTCTTCAGATTCATATCATTCTGACGATGGATGGGGACCTCTTAATAGGCGATCGCATGCTTCTGTTCGTTTCAACAGGCTAACCTAGAGCAGATCCCGAGGGTGTGCTCTCCGCTGTGGTAACTCCACTCGTGTATGGTGACTTGTCTCAGGTCAGCAGCTATCAACGGTGGCCCAGCGAATTGGAGTAGAACGAGGTCAGGTTTCTGTTTTTGCTTTTCTCCCTCTTTCCTCCTTGGTTCAAAGTTCATCGATGGTAAGCAGTTAGTTGCAGTTCTCAGTATTCGTAGGCTTCAATAACACTTACCAAATTCATTCAGGCCGGAACACTAGGAAGATCCCTCTTCCGTCCCATAGTAAATAGCCGTGCGTCGCGGATAGCTATTTTTCCTCTCGAGGAAGTAAATTAGAAGCATTGGGAAATAACATTAAACAATCGTCTGAAGTATTCTTACTCTCTTGTCGTTGGAATAAGAGTCAGTGTTCTTAGACTCTATGAGTGCACACAGTCACACACGCACACATACGGTTGAATTTCGATATAAGCGTGAACTTATTTTGGCCGCATTTGCACTGTTTTCCAGACATCTGCTAGGAAATGAAGGTAGGCCGAGTGGAGATATGGCCGAACACTTTCATTATGCACACATCTAGTCGCGCCATCCGTTTACGAACTGTTGTCTTATAATGGGTTTATCGGAGATTAATGTCATACCTGTTACCCTCGTAAGGTAAAAGACCATTGAATGATTGCTAGCGTATCGGGAACATTACTGCTAGTATTGGCCCGTTGAGTATTTCCTGTTAATAAAGGAATCAGAGTCTTTCTGCGAGTGCCCCGGCTGTATTGTTCTGTTTCTTTTGCTCGTTGTCTCGCTACCTTCCATAGTATGACGTTTCACAGATGGTAATATTTTGCTCTCGTTCTCTTGACGTGATATCGTCTTCGTTTTCCTGTCATTGTTTATTTCGTTCTATACAACATTCGCCTGCGTCGTTTATCGTTACGGGGACACGCTCTTAGTCTTTCATCAACGGGTCTATTTGTCGTTTTCTCATGCTCTCGTTATTCTATCTTGTTGCCTACGACAGAAAAAAGCGTTATATTTCGTCTACAAAATAGAGTCCCTTTTTTGTAGAATCGTAGCGCGCCTATATGTCGTAACTGTTTATGCTGTTTTTTCATACATGTGCTTTGTTATCGCACATAAAAAATAGTATAATTGTGCCGGAATGGTTTCGTCACTTTTTATATCGGTATCATTCTCGTAGTCATTGTAGAAATGAAATCACTGCCCTAGTCATAATCAACATTTTCATAACTGTCATCTAGTTACTATATATATGTAATGTTGTTATCCTGATCTCTTCTTTTTAACTATAGATGTAGGTCGAGGACGTAGGTTTACGCAAGGCTACGTCGTCCGAATGACACGTGATAAATAGTTTTTTTTTTTTTACATATTAGCTAAGTCATTAGTTGATATAATAACAAATACTCATTATAATTTCTAATATAATAATAATAATAATAATAAGAACTGTAATGATATCCACATGTAGAATAGAATGTTTATCAATTTTCGCGTTCATAATGATCGCTCTCCACATCGTTATTATTATCGATGTCAGTTTTTTGTTTGTTTATAATTTTCAGTTTTTAGTTTATTGAAATTAGTGGCATAATTTTGTCATTATGGCTGTTGTTATATAGCATGCTTGAATTTATACAAAATTTTTATCTATCTGTCCTGTTTGGTTGTTTATTTGTGTGCAATTATCGGCGTTTTCCTTTCGGTGCAAAGTGTTTACAATGACTGACCTTGCCCGGTAATTTTTACTGGTTTGTCACAGGGTGATCTTTTCATGCGCCAGGTTACATAAATCTCTATTTTGTTATCGTCGTTATGATTGTGGTTGCGTTTCGTCGCTTTCATTCATAGTTGCCCTGTTTTTGCTGTATATATATATATATATATATATATATATATTTGCGTTCATTGTAAGCTGTCCTAGGTGAAGTAATCAAGAAACGATTGATAATTTCGTTATGTTTATCCTATGCGTTAATGTTATCCAAAGCGTTATTGTTGAGATTTCTAACTTTTTGCGATGCTACGCTTCAACATTTTTTATTATCAGCGATGAAAACTAATTATGTGCATCAGAGTGACTGTTGCTTGCCTTTCACAAGTTTTTTTTTTCTGTATTTGCCAAAAATTCATATGGCTATAAATGATCTTGTTGGAATAATTGTTAAAACCTACATTTTTGTTTCTCTCTTGCAATAATGTAATAGAATATACCTAATAAGATAAATCACAAAACTTGTTTTTCGGCACGGCTCTTCAGCTTTTCACTCCGGCTTCTGACTTGTCGACCCTAATTGATTTTCCGTACCTCTGGCTCGTTGTTTTCTCTCGCATCCCGTATTTTTCCCATTCTACAAAAAATGATAAATGCCTTTTTTTCATGTTTGTTGATGCTGTTGTCGCTGCTGTTGGGTTGGTTTGCGATCGTTAACATTATCGCGAACAGATGATTGTTTGTTGACTTGGTCGGTAGATGGATAGTGCCTATTGTTTCCAAGGGGGTTGATGTGAGTTTTTGGTGAAGATAAAAAAAAAAAAAGAAAAGGTGCGATTCCAGAGCCCCGAGGACCACCGAAGATCCCTAAATAGAAATATGGCGTTATTGTGGTTTTGTTCCTCGGTCTATTATTATTCATATAATAACTAGCAACATTATCATCCTCATCTTCCTAACTATAGACGGCACCTATCAGAGGGAGCGCTTCCATGATGTGGATAATGTAATCTCCGTCGCTCGTAAATCGTCGCCATTCATGTATATATTATTCTCGTTACTGTTATTATCAATCGCATCGTTCTTTCTTATCATTTTCGCTAGCATCGTCCTCTTGTAAGATAGGACGGCTATGACAAGTTGTCGTATTTGGCCACTTGAACTCGCGTGCTAGTCTTCGATTGACTCTTGATGGGTGGGATGAACTTAAGTACCATTCGCGTGTACCGTGAGCGAAGCCTGGCGTGGCTATTTAAGTTACTGGGGGAAAATCGAAGATGCTAACGGTATTCTGTCACAGGTTTCAGATTTGCTGAGTTGAAGGACGTTTTGCCTGTGGTATGGGTAAATAGACTATGTTGTAGCGCCTAAATATGAATGTGTGCTATCTGCGATATTTGCAATGGCGTGCTACGATTAAATATTGCACTTTTGAGGCGATGGAACTAATATTCATTTTTACTATTATAATATTGTTCATAATAGTTATCACCTGACCATCGTAATACTAATGGAAACCAATGCTCCTTAACAAGAAGCTTCTGTCGATGGGGAATTAATCGAGCCTAGCACTGCGTAGGGCTGGCTCGCTCTCTACTTAATCGTGTCTCTGGCAATATCATCTCGAACTCCCTCTGGATGTGACTGTGCCATTTGAGTGAATCTGCGTAAGTTTGTTTATATTTTGCGAGGTCAACCTCTGCCTTGTGAGAGCAGGCAGCAGGCGACCACCGCACCGTATAGTGAGTACCTTAAGTGCCTTCGAGATACGAAATCTCTTAAATATATTGCACATTGCAAAGGGACACACACCGCCCGTGAGGGCCTTCTTCGTTAAGCCGACTGTTGACACTGTGTCGTTCCTAAATGACCCTCATTTGCTTGGTAAACGAGTGAGATATTCGCGAATGTTGCACTTCAACCGGACAACGTCGCAGTCAAAACTAATGAAACCATCCTATGATTCAACTGTGCTTTTCGCAAATTTCGATTAGGTCCACAGTGGAGGCCATTGGATCGGACGCGTTTAGCGACTTCAACGAGTGTCGTATTAATATGGCTCATTGATCTTTGATCCGACAAGGAGGCTTGCAACGAAACGGATTCGGCGTTTGCCGCCACCGTCGTCTCATCCGAGATCATCACCTAACATTGTCGATACCCGTCACCTGGCTTAGGTGAATTAGGTGAATTCAAACTGTATCCCAATACTTCGATATGGGCCCTATTACTAGTGTATATATATATATATATATATTGATGTGTCTACTGAAAAAATTATAATCTTTCTCCTCACGCTTATATACTTTTCCCCTTATCAACCATTTGCTTTTCCGCGTGCGTCTACGAAGCAATCATTCAGACATATGCTATTTCCCTATGTGTAATATGAATGGTAATCTATGCACTGTGTCCTTATGCAGGAATGTCATTGCACTTCTTGTCAACGTATCGTCGCCCTATATTGTTATCACCATAATCATTATATTGAGTAGGTATGTGTGTATTGGTATGAAATTTTTTCCGTGTATTAACAAAGTTCCTCTTCTGCTTCCGTTCCGCTGACGAGATTGCCAAATAATCAAGCAAGGCAAAACAGAATGTTGTTTTGTTATATACTTTCCATAGCGTTTCTCTATATCCGTACAGATACCACTACTACTAATAATAATTCTTTGTCCTATATACACGGACGGCCCAATCATGCCAACGACCGCCTCAGCTTTTTCAGCGCTACTGTCGTATAATTACAGGTATCTAAGCAACAAAAAGAACATAAATCAATTATACATATTCATACAGCATATCGATACGAATACACAATCAAAATGGGAACCCTGGCACAACACTGGAGATCTGCATGCTAACGTCTACAAACGAAAAGCCCCAAACATTCTATATGCGATGTTTCCTAGAAGTTTATGTTGCCGCCGATGTTAGTTTTTCGTCATTAGGCAAAACAAAAAGAAACCAATGGTAACCATTGAACCGTGCGCGGCTAAAGGATTTTTTCAGCCGCTCACCTTACGATCACGGTACCGAATTTGCCTGCCTGCCTGCCTGCCCGCCCGCTTGCCCCCCGTACTGAAGATCACGATTATACAATATTCAACGCAGCAAACACAATAGGATCCATGCGCATCGCGCTACTTAGACATGTTGGAGCTCAGCTCATGTTGCTGTTCCAAAGTTTTGACATTGTTGGCGTCGGCACTGTCAACAACTGCGATGTCAACTCATACAATATACATATATAGTTGTTAAGCAGAGATATCGCATATATACACACAGACAAATGATTGTAAGAAAAAACCTCGTACGCTTTTGTCGTACTACTAATAGTAATAATAGTAAAATAGCAATACTAGTGGTAGTTGTATTGTTTTTGATCAGTTCAGCTATGGAGGTGATTCCCTGCTTTCACAGATGTTTTTAGTTTGGTTTTTGATGTTGCAGGTTTTGTGGAAAATAGGTTTTTGTTTGCTTTTCTGCTATCAAACGGGTAAGAGCTGACTTTGGGTAGGGAGTTGTTGTTGATTGAATTGATGAGAATTGGCTTCTATTTGGTACAAAGTCAACACTCGGTAGTCTCCTGTTGCTTCATCCCGAGCAGACGGTGAATGTTGTACTAATAGCAGCAGCTTTAAATATCGTGGGCTTGGTTTTTTCTTGATGACCTGATGTACATTTGAGATGGGAAATGAGAGGTTTTAGGTGGATATTCAAAGTTCTGTCCTTTTTTCTTTTCAATGTCGTATTTAGAATTGGTAGTAATATTAAAAAGAGTTATTTTCAAAATGATGCGTGCCCACCCCGCCAAAGGGCGTGCGAGCGGATCACAGAAAACCTTAAAGGCTCCCAGCTAGCATGCAACACCACTATAGGTAAGAACAGTCTAAAGCCTAGAAGCTGCTGGGAACCATTGGCTTTGTTTTTAACTAGCGACAACATCGCGGACTAGTAAGTATCTAGTACAGTATAGAATACATTCCACTGGCACTTGCATTTCTTCATTTTTATCTTCATTTATAATCACCATCATAACCATTAGCAGCGTTACCGTCTTCGCGTTTTCTTCAATTTCTAATGACTCGCATTAACCAGACTGTAGTAATCACCAGTCTGTCGTCTATGGTTCCTGTCTTTTTTAGATCGCTCTCGACCTCAATACATAAACAAGCTTGTCTGATGCCTTGATTCGCTTAGTCGGCTGTGACGTAGGCTTACCAAGGTGTCGATCTCCCTTATAGTTATGTAATAACTTCATGCGGTATCTTTTTGTCCTCTTTTTTTCTTTTGCCATCGATATATATTTACTCTGCATCATTTCATTCATGAGATGGATTTCAGTTGTTACAGATGAATTTTAATCACTGTGATTTGTCAAGGAAAATGACACAACTTGATTTTAATTAACGGCGGCATTTGGCTGGTGATGATTCTTTAGTTCGGTAAACACCTGGGTGAAATACGATGGTTCCGAGTTGATCTTGAGCATCTTGGACGATAGCTTATTAATGATGTAGAGACACCGATCCCAGAAGTGGTCTCGATTCTCGCCTTCGATCAGAAACGGTTTCAATGGGTATGAGATCTCGTTTCCTAAAAACAGCAGAAACAAAACAAAATGTGGATGGAAATGTAAAAACCTTGCATTGGCATACGCTCACCGAGTCATGACAGGCTAAAGCAAAAATAATTACACACCCTAAGACCCTTGATCGCTCGTGGTGTTTCTGAGTCATGAAGCGGATGCGATGGGCGCACGCCCCAGGGAAATCAGCTGACTCATCGAAAGAGCTCTTTCTTTACTCTCCTTTAGCTGTGACTTCGTGAAGCGTGACTGCATTAGCCATTTAACGTTTGCTTTCATTTGCAAACAGAAGGGAATAGGCGTAGACCTGCAACTTGATTGCTTACGAAGGGAATCTCCATTACGGGTATAAAGCATTTGCCGTCTTGAATTTTTCTTGGTTTCTGTAGAACGTAATTATGGTACTTGCAAAAAAAGGTTGGAGATTTTAGGACGTTATAACGATTAGGATTAAATACAGTAAATTAAATACTGTAAAAGTGCAATCATCATAAGAAGCAATCAAGACCTTATTCGCAATTAATGAAACTTTTAGACGATACTTAGAAATTTTACTACTTATCATTGGAGTCGTTTCTGAAACAACCCATTTATTATAGAATAGCTAAAAGAACATATTTAAGGTCCTAGCCCTTTGATTGCTGCCATACAAATCAACTTTTGGTTTTACCGTTTCTAAGCCATTATGCACAGGTGGAAAAAATCTGCCTTAAGAGTGATGAAATCCGATCTTTGACTTTCTAGAGCACTCCGGCATTATAACGTTTTTTTCAAGAACAATCGTTTCCTATTTTACGATCAGTACAAAAGATTCATTTAAATCATTAAATCTAGTTACTTACCCATATATGAGTAGGATAAATAAAGGCAAGTGAGAACAAGTCCTTGAAGTTCACGTTCTGATGTCACTGAGTGCTCGTCAACGATAAGCTCTCTGAGTAGCATATACAGGAACACGACGTTAGCGGGATTTATGAACGCGATATCTTGCCAGCCCTGAAGCAGTAAAGAGCGATCTACCGAACGCAGCCAAAGCACCGCATCGCCTCCCTGTCGGATAAGAGGGCAAAAGAACGACAATCAGTTACACCTTATTAGGGCTATTCCTACGCACTGTGTTTGGAATACTTGTTATTGACGACATCTTACATATTCCAACAGGTCACTGATAAACTGGACATGTACGGTTAATTTGATTTTATGTATCCATTACACTCGTATTGACTAATAGGAAAAATTACTGCTTTTTCAAATTCAAATCTAGCCTTTTTTCCATAGCTTCATATTCAGGATAAACCAAATATGCTTAGGTCTTAAGCTTTGGTTAAGAGAAGTTGACAGTGACTGCGAGTAACTTCTATCATTTCACATTTTAGACGCAGGGTTAGAACGACCTGTGGTGATGTATTCCAGGTAAACACGGGAAAACAACTGAATTGAAGTGTTGTAAATAGTAATTTTAAATTCAGAGCAGCTCATTATCTTCGCGTAAACTTCACGGCAATTTTTATGGTAAGCGATTAAAAGACAGTTTCGATATTTGCTACAGCTTGATCTGTTGACTAGCAAATGTAGAAAACAAGTTATTTATGTTGGTAACTGTCGAAGTTCTAAGATTCACAAAAAAGGTTGAACAATTGCCTCATCAATCCTAACAGTTTAGGAGGCCCGCGCCGGATACTTGTCCTAATAACGTTTGATATGTTTGATAAGATACTTTTTTTTTTTCTATAGTTCAGAATCACGTATGGGTTACTCTTGGCTATTGGTTACTGCTTGAGGCCGCTTACCATATATTGGGTTGTAGAAAAAAGGTCTGACCATTTTTTGAGCTAAAATTCAAACTAATATATTTTTTCGCTTTTAAGATAACATTGCCAAACTAAATTAGGATTATTTTGATTGATGATTTTCTGGCATTTTTTGGCGATATCATAATCACATTAATTCTACGTTTATGGATGAAAAATTGTGATTTCTACATCCTCCCATTGACATTACTGCAGATCAATGACACTCGGATGTTCGAGTTATACGGTTAGAATCTCTTATACAGGTTCTTGCGGTTTTTGCCAAATAATCAAAGATGTATGCAGCTTTGCATTGTAGTGATGTAAGGTAACAGCTTTCCCGTTCACTCGTTCCGGTTGGTTTTTTTCAATGCCCTAAGGTAATCTTGTTATTTTCTGATAGTAGAAGTCTTAAGTTAATCTTTGTGCCAGGCGCGAGATACTTGTATTGCACGATTCCTTTCCGATCCATCCGCTGATTAATCGAATTCACAAATGATTCACACCCAAAAGTTTTTTTGTTGCCATGTTTTTCCAAACGGTTTAAGATAATTTGATAACTGATGTCAACATAACAACTTAAGTAACCTTCCTCGTAATTGATCGACCATTACTGAAAGGCCAAAACCATTTCATCCGATAACTTTATCATACAAAAATTGTAAACTATAATTCATTTTTTTGGAAGCCTCACGCAGGTTCAAGGCACTCTAGCTAAAGCCTAAACAAGGGCATTTCAACAATGTTATCACATCTACTACTGTCAAATATTAGCTTTCAGCCGACCTACATTACATGAGATCCGTAAGTTTAAAGTCAGCTAGATAAAAAACCTTCTCGGCAACCTAATATATATATATATATATATATATATATATATAATGGACAGTCATACAGCACAGCACCTAGTTATGGTTTGTCTTTAAAGCTGCACCTAAAAAAGCAGGTGTTTACAATTATTTTTACACATGCTAGAAGTGTCATCGCTGACGATTTTGCCGGTTCAATACCGTCATTACCTTTTGTGACTACAGCTTCAATTTGGAACCTAAATTACTCAGTGGTCATTGCATCGATTCTAAAATATTTTTCCTACAATTCATAAAAACCTTCCAATGATAAACGTAAACAAAGTAATACGCTATATATAACAAATTGTGACAAAATTGAATTTTAAGATGATAACAGACCAAAATCGTAAAGCTGCAAAAGCTTACAATGGTCCAAACGTTAAAGAAGGTGCAAAGAGGCGCAGAAAGTATCTTGGACGACTTGATTGACAATAGATATTTTTCCCTTCAAAACGGCATTTTTTTCAGTATGAAAAACACAAGCACATCAAAAATGGCTTTTCTTTTTTTAATCTAAACTTTTTTCTTAATATTTATTAGTTTATCTTATAAAAATATTTTTCTGATTTTTTAGAAGTCGCGTGAAAAATGCGGAATGACGGTTTCGGCAAAAAAAAAAAAGATGTTTTTTACTATAGTGGAAGTTCATCCGTTGTGTAAAATTCGATATTAAGTAATTTTTGTTTTAATTGCAAAAATGACGCATTGTTTTCCATTATGACACGTTTGTTCGCTTAGTTTTGCCAAAACCTCCTCTGGTACAAAAAATAAGGAATAAACACATGCCGACCAAAGTCTCAATTTAGCTGCCGTATATACACTTATCATGCTGTAATATTTCGTATATACCTTTCACATTACTCCAGTTGGGACGGTCTCACGAGCAAACATTATTACGTGCCACCCTCTGTTAGTCGTATATAGATCTCTCTAACAATGTGCGTGATCGCACGACAACACCACAACAAAAATACGCCTTTCACTCTTCGTAAGCACTCGTGCGTTAGGCGAACGTCTGATTAGGACGCTTCCAGTACATACCTTTTAACACTGGTATTAAAAACTAAACACCTTGGTATAATATATGGATAGCAGAGGCATTTTGAAATTAATGTTGCGTGAGAAATTACGCGACCCATCGCAAGTGGACTACTGCATCATCTATGTTAACAATACTCCTAAAAAAAAACGGCCTGCTGTGGCATAAATGTTGGAATTGTAAAAGTGTAATACGGCCGCTCCTCTACCTATGGTGACCTATTGAAACATTGATAACCAAAAGCATTTTTACAGAATAAAGGCTTGCATTGAATTATTATGCCTGCATGTTTTCGATAGCATTGTTGCCAGCATCGTAACTGGTTAAATTAGACTTAAATGAATAGATCGAAGACAACCCTTTTGAAATTGAGTCTTTTATCCGCTCGGGACAAGAGTATATGCAGTAAAATATTTGTAAGCGGCAAGATAACCTATAGAACAGCATGAGGTTTTTAATATAACGCCAGCTTCAGCTAATGAAGTCTTCAAGATTTTTTCTGACAACAGATGTCGTAGACCGAAGTGATTTGTCGACTTCCATCATCAAGGCTGCAAGGAGCCGCAGTTCCGACAAAAGGCGTTAGGCCTGCACGTGTATGTATGTATGCCTGCTCAGGCTAACGTTTGATAAAAACAAATCCATAGGTTTGCCTTAGCGAAGCTAATACCCTCGTTTCATAATAACACTAAAAGCACTAAATTTACTTGTGTCGAAAGATAATACCTGTTTAGATTTTCTTTAGGCTGCCAGGAAGTAATGACCTTGATGTATAGCGATACTGATGATAATAAGACTTGAAAGATGGTTAGAAAAACAGTCGTAGGCTTACCTTCTTTGCGTTGTAGTGGCAGTTATTTTTTGGACGATAAGGTTTACACCTATCTTAAGCTAAAATGACCCGTTTTCTCGTATGTAAATCACTTGATACAACGTACATATCATTGAACCCACGGACGTTTGCCAATACTTGATTCGATACAACGGCCATTGTTATTAAACCAGTTATTGCGCCATACTTGTGGTAAACCTGGACATTTCACTTTTAACGGTTTCACATGTAGATACACGAAACTCGAAAAAGACCGCTTCAATAAGCAGGCCAATACTGTTTCTGTACGCTGTTGAGCGCCGACTGGTTTTTGTCACAGATGGCCAATGCAATGATCTATAAAGCCAGAATCATTTGTATATCTCCGAAGATGTTACCGTTAAGATCTGCCACCTTTTCGCTGATGCTATTAAAAAGTGCTACTAAAAAACATCTATAGAAGTCTATGGAACCGGTCCACTAAGATGGGTAGGGAAATGATCATTTCCCTTTTTTTTCAGAGTTTTTTCAGAAAATTGGATTTGAATGAAACAGAAAGAATCTAGATTCCTTTGTTTTCGTTCATTGTTTTTTCTTTTGTAAGCGATTCAGCGCAGTAAGAAGTGTTGACCTCTAAATCGCCAAATCGTCGCCGCAATTCGCCCAGGTTCGAATATATCCAACGATTTGCAGTGCAAGTCAGAAATACGTTTTCATTGAAAAAAAAAATCATAGATCTACAGTTAGAAAAAATAGTTTGTGGAAAAATCTGCTTTCTAGTTAAAGCAATTACTGTTTTCCGTAAACATGTATCTACTTGTTTTTTGTTACTGATTTTTTCCTCCCTAATCTCATTCTAAAGATCAATAACAAGCTTTTACTATTGAATCTCAATGGGATGCGATTTCGACCGTTTCATACAGCAACTATACTTAATTCTCGGTAAGGCCAAATGGTAGGGCAAGCGAAAGTGCACCAGCCCTTGTGCCTGACTAGCAAGTCGCGCACGATATTTGCGGCTAATGTAAATACAGAAAAAATCTGAGACGAAACTTCTGCTACCGAATCGGTCGATGCGTTCGCAAACAATTCGTATAATTTGATAGATGCCTTAATTTTCATTTTGCCTTGATATATCGATTGGATGCGAACCAGGTGCCAGGTCTTCGCGTGTAACGAATGTGGCCTTGCCTCAGTCAATGGTGGTCCACGATATGTGCAATAAATATAGGAATGAAATAGGCCCACGCCTGCTGCAGACGGGGATCTAATTTTTGTGTATTTAAATAGTGCATAGTTCCGTCATAGCTGTAGCAGCAGAAAATAAATGATCAAACAGTACTTGATAATTATTTCATTGTATCTACAGTGTTTTATTCTAAGTAAAATTAATGTTGGTCGCAATCGGCAATTATAGGTTAATATGAAAAAAACACCAAAATAAAATGTAATTAGCTACAAAAACTTTTACGTTTTGCTAGGACGCATCTTAAGTCATCTGTTCCTGAAAGACGTTTCAAGGCGGGTTGCATTTTCACGATTCGTTTATGAAAGATGTGGTAGAAGAAATGCGACGTCGCAGTGGGCTTCAGCAATGGGTACGTTTGTAGCAGTTTGACATTAACTTCAGCTGTGTATTGACGGTTCAAAACTATGCTTTCATCGATATCCCGTATACACCATGCTTTCTACAGCACCAGAGATTGTACCTTTTCTAATGGATCGTTGTTTAGAGCGAAATTTTCGTTCATCGAATTACGATATACGTGGAGCCCGTTCCAAAGATGTACGCTCCAGCCTTCTAGTGCTTTGTTAAACCGGTTAGATTTATTTGCCCTGTCATTGCCGGAACAGATAGACCAATTCGTAGGCGTTAAAATATTTGACAGACAGAATGTATTACAAGTCCAGGGATGACACTCTTGTTGGTACGACATGTCAACAAGTGTCGTGCTTATATTCGAACGAAGTATCGGTTTCCGTAAGGCTTTTGGTATACTAGTTTCCGTACTCATTAGACAAACGACTGGTACTACACAGGAGCAGAAGTAATTTTAGGTACACCCTAAATTGCACTCTACTCTCAGGGCAAGCCATTACATAAAGGCGGTCCATGTAATATCTGAGTACACTGAATGCGTATACGGGGTAAATACCGTTGCGATTAACAATTTTTTTTTTTTATTCCTCTTTCTATACAGTACTAGCAGATGAAAATTCATCAATTAGCAGAGATGTCACTTGGCTAGTTTATTTATACGTCGTCAGAAAGGCCATACCAGGCATTGTAATTAACGTTTTCTTCTTTCTGCTGCTACTACCACCACAACTATTTCGACTGCTGAATAAAGTCTCTTAATGATTTGGCCAGTTGCCTTCATCCTTACCATTTTCCCTCTGAGGAACTCCATGCTAGCGATTTGCCATTGAAACTTCAACCGTCTATTGAATGCTTGTGACATATTTTCCCCTTCTCTTTCGCTTTGGTCTAGAGGCACTGCCCCCTTGGACCTATACCATGCCGCTGACCATGCAATGAGCTCTTTTCGTAGATGTCACATCTGTCATCTGCACTCTATGCTTCTTTCGGCCTATGTAGCGACAGAAATTTCGACAGTGACAACGGTTGCTGCTCAGGCTCTTTAACCCAACCGCAGTCCACATAGCAACGTCAGTCGCCGCCATTTTTTAAGGAGGTTGCCGCCTACATCGGCAGCTTTTGCCACACATTACAGCGATGCCAATTCTGCACTTGTCACTGCGTAAGGTACGATATCGTACTGGTGGTGTCGGCCTCTTCCGGCACCACGGCGATATTGACTGGTCAGACTGTTGGCGTCAGCAGACTAAGTGCGGAAGGGGCAAAAAAGGAAGGTACAGAAGCCTTGCTCTATATATAAACGCCAACCAATAAAAGATTACACTCACGATTATTCTCGGAATGCTACCAAGGCGTTGGCTTGCCGGCACTCAGTGACATGCGACTGTTCAGCTGTTACACAGACATTGTAACAAGCAGACAATCAGGCGGTCTTTGGTGATAGGCGACCGGTTGGTTGCAAGGCAAGCAGATTGGAGTACCCGTTACATTATGAAAAAGGCCGGCTTATACTATCTGCTCTTGTTCTATTTCTACAAATATATCGTCTTCTTACCGTCGATTCCTAATCCTATCTCCGTGTTTCTATGTCGGCCAACAATTTGCGCTGGCTCGACGACTGATAGCTTTATGGGTAACGCATTTGTTTGCTAATCTGAGGGGCACGTTATGGTCTAGATTCATAAACACACGGCTCGTATCATGCTGGGAGCCAGCCAGCCAGCCAGCCAGCCAGCTGATGAAGTGCCTCACGGCGATACCGTAAGGCGTAAGACTCGAAACCTAGAGACCCGGAAAGTGCATTGAATTTCATCGAAGTGACCGAATGGTGGAACTGCACAAGTTGAATATGGAAGACAAATTATGAGGTCAAACGGGAAAACAGCACCGTCGATACCGGCGATATAATATCACTGGCAGTATTATTTATACCAGTGGAGCTGTAGCAGACGATATGGATGTTGGAATAGCGAAGAAAGTAGCGCAGTTGTCTCAAAACATGTCGGACGCTATCTCGATCGATCAAACTTAATTCTACAAAACGTGAGAGGCATTCTTCATCTTTGTATACATATCGCATCATTAATATTGTCCGCAGAAGAATATATTCCTACTTCATCTCAAAGTACACGCGTACGCAACGCATTGGAAATTAAACCGTAACGTTACAAAATAAATGTATGTTCTGGTGGTGGTTCAACGATAGTGACTCTGTTTATGAGTTTCAGGAACATAAAATATAGGAGATTTATTTTAGAAATCGAACCTAGAGACTTCGTTTGGGCTACGTAAAGATGGCCAGCTGTTCGCTATAATTCCTGACAACGGATGTAAAACTCGATGCACTTTGTTACTGGGCTGAAACCATTTCCAAGCTAACCTACGACATTTATGGCTCACAGTTCAATATCGGTCGGAATAACTCATCCCTAATAGAGACTCGCTAGATCTCTTGGGAATTCGTATTGCCTTAGCGACGTTTACCGGGTCCGTCTCTCATCTCGTGCTCACTTATTTACTATAGCACAGCGAACCCTTTTTTCTTCGTCCACAAGCCTTTCCCATTGCTGCTTCACTGTACCGTCTACATTTATATACATAGCTGGATGTAGTTGTTCCTATCCCCGTGCGTCTGTAATCTACTCGATCTCTGTACCCCTTACCCTCTTCTCTTCAATTACCCAATAAACTATGATATGTGCTGTGTTCATTACCTGAAAGTCTTTTAGCCGATTGCAGGTCTTAACCAGAAATTCGCCAAGGCATCGTAGGAGTTCCGACGTTGACGCCTGTATGACCGTCTTTCCTGACTGCTGCTGCTGTCGTAGCGGCTTCGGAGACGGGATCAGCTGCTTTACCGCTTGTGTCGGCTTGGGAGGTAAAGGGGGTGCCCGATCTGTACGCTCTAGATCGGCCCGCTTTGCTTGGAAGCCAGGGAAAGCGGCGACACCCGAGGTTCGCGCACCAAAATCTGTCCATCGCTTATCTTGTGGTTTCAGCTCGCGATAATGTTGCAGATTCTCACCAAAAGCGTTATCGAGGTAGTGGTCCTGCCGAGAGTCACCGCCAGTTTTCGGGTAACTGCTGGTTTGACTGCCAATACCTGAGTCTGGCGTGAGGAAATCTTTGTCATCTTTTCGACAGCTATCAATTGTGTTATCCTTGTTGTTGTTTTCAGCGCGGCTCGACCGGCCGAGGCCCAGGCCAAGATTTTCTGCACTGGGCGGTCGAAACACCTGAGCAACAGTATCTTGCGTGATCACGGTTCGCGGCGCCTGTGGGTTTTTATTTTCCTGCTGTGTCTTGTGCTTCTTTGGCAGCCCAAAGCTTTTCCAGCTAAGTGAATTTACAAAGATTGGCTTCTTCAGCTGGCCATTGGCAGGCTGGAGCGCAGCCTTCGTGTTGGGCCCCATAATTTTGGTGTTTTGAGCGAAGGCCTTTGTGGGAACGTTCTTCGCGTTTTTCAGCTGTTCGTAGGCATACATCGATCCTATGCCTGAAGTAAGACTCTCCCGCGGCTTACCGAGCCGTGCGTCTTTTGGTGCAACACTCATCACAGTCCCCATGGCTAGAGAAGATACCCTGTGCGGTTTATCTGTGAGGTTGGTTATCCACTGTACTGTTCTGTGCGGTATCTTCTTAGGCTATGTCGTAAGTCCCTTCTTCGCCAAGTTCTTCCACACTTCACTCGATTCTAGTTGTGCTTAAGATTCACGGCCATCAAACACACACCCGTACGCGCGCGCGCGCGCACACACACACACACACACACGCACCCACACACGCACACCAGTTTACAGGAAATATACCTTGTAAATCGCACCTTCCTAGTACTGTGCTCTGGAGCCCCTAACACATTTAGTAACAAAGTCTTTAGGCCCTAGGCCCAACGTTGTAAGGAAACAATTTATCCTCAGCGGCACCCGTTGCGCTCTTAGTGTCTCTGGGTGACGTAGAGGACTCCTCTAGCTTTGCGCCTTACTCTGGCTTGGTGGATGCTAGCCAGGTCGATGTCTCTATTACTAGTGGAAAATCGTCCACTTCTACTCTATCCCGCACTCATCATTGCATCATTACTGATACGCCACTATATGACACACTGCATCACACACTAGCCAGTCGGACGTCACAGAACACCGCGCCGATATATATAAATACAATAACACTCTGACGGTTGGTCAGGCTTCGTTGGGTCACTGGACGCAAGTGAAATCTACCGGGACTGAAGTTGATTCTTGCGTTGCAGTTACAACAAAGACCGCTTAGCCTAGTTGTACAGTTGCTTAGCCTCCTGCTATGTTTGCTGTGGTGGACGATGAAGGAAGAGAACCCGGATTGGGTGGTAACCTTTCGCTCCTTTAGTCTGCGCGAGGTGATCCGGGGCGAAGGGGCACGTTGCCCTAGCAACGACTGTACCCGCAAAGAGCAGGAACAGAAACAGCACAGGCATAGGACTACGCAGCGGCGCTTGGATAGCGGAGGTTGATGCTTAGCGATGCCCCTGTACGCTTGCCACTGCCAAGCAGAGAGGGAGCCAAGCCTTCTCCACTCTTTTCGCTGGAAATCCGTTGCTGCTCGCTTGCCCCACTCGTCGTTTCGCTGCCGTCTCACTTAGAAAGAGCAGAGCTGTTCCGACTATTGGCTCATCTTACCCCTCCAAGAGGCTGCATCACTTGGCGCCAAAATGACTCTCTCGCGATAAGTTGAGTGTGTCTTGACTATAGCAGACCAACTGCAATGCACTGTGTGGGATCTGGTAGTGGGGCACGATTTTGAGTCCCAGTTGCGAAGCGACAAGTGTAGAAAGGGGCAAAGGCACCGTGTGCCAACAATCACTAGTCGCAGCTGAGAACCAGCAGTAATATGACAGTCGCGATGACAATAGTGACAACGACATGAAAATAAATGCTAGTCGAGCCCACAGACACAAGCATTAGCGGAATCAGCTATCTGGTTTTGGGTGGACTAGTTAGTTGGTAGCAACTCGTTAAATGTACTAGGAGAATAAGCAAGAGAATCTAAAGCTTCATTGTTATTATTTTGCTTAAGGAATCGTTAACTATATAGGAACACAATACGAATCACGTTGGTAGCGTGCGTGGATGTAAATGTCGTTTATCGATGATTAAGTTTCAATAAACGCAGCTAAAGCACAAAAATTATGAATAGCCGCGTATGGATGTATTGAGGCGTATACTTAAACAGTCTGCTACAATTTACAGTCATCCAGCGGGATGTGTTTCTCTTCCCTCTTGTCCGCAAGGCGAGCATAAGAAGTTTTTTTTAGGATACCTTCAAGCGCAATGCGTGCTATAGCTAGTTCATAAGAACACGTTTCAGAGATCTCCTATACGCTTCAAGGCAAGCCTTGGATTAATATGTTAACCATCCGTGCACGCAAACTTCTTAGTTTCCTGTTCGCTGTTGCTTGTCGTCATTCTGTGCTCTTTTTTTTTGACGCAAAATAGTCCAGACCCGTTAATTGGAAAGGCGACCGTAATTGGAATGAGCGGGAGCGAGGCTCGTCGAGTAACGATAAGGGATTGGAGGTGACCGAATGTATCTTGGAGTTGTGCGTAGCGTATTTCGGAAATGTGAAGAGGTAGCGTTTGGGGGGTACATGGAAAGGAGCAGGTCACGAAGTGGAAGACGTAGGGATTGCCCAGTCGAGCAAGCACATGAAAACCTCTTTGCGAAAAAAGAAAGGAGGGGAGTTGAAGCAGGCCAACGTGTGCGCCAGTGGCGGCACTCCGGCTCTTGGTTTCTCGGGTTTCCTCCAAGAGGAGCGATTTGGGGGAGGGCGAGCTTTGAACAACATGGCGTCCGCTGTTTGCTGTTACCCCATTCATCAGTTTCCACCAATACGATCGCCCGCTATATAGCCTGCCTGCGAGGCTGGTCACTGGCTAAAACTAGTATTCCAAGGATCTAGGTTGGCGTAGCTTGTTTTACTTGCTTAGTTCGGAAGCTGTGGCAGTAGCGTGCGAGGGCGCGGGCGCGCAGGCTCAACGTACACTCTATCTGTTAGACGTTGGACAGATTGTACTAGCGGGCGGGCAAGCCTATTATGGCCGGAGAGCAGCCGCAGCATCGGCCTAGCGCACTGCTGCTGATGACGACGACGACGACGACGTCGACTTGGTAATTTTCGACGGCAGGCATCGCTTTGCGGCGCTACGGCGGTGCATCCGTCGACTACTACAGCAGTACTACCGTCACGACAGACAGCCAGCTCACTCACTCACTCTGTGGTGTCAAAAGAATTTGTCGGTGCTCTACCAACACGAAATACTACTACCCTAGCAGTAGAAGCAGCAGCAGCATCCGCTAAGCGTAACTGGGTCGACAACGAACCTTCGGGACCGAACAGCATTTGTGTGGGCCTTTTCGGCTCAGCAGACCTGCGAACGAGCGGCCGTTTAATACGGTCGTGTGACTAAAATGAAATTTCTTTGCGAATTCATCACATAAATGTTCGGCTTACGTGGAACTGAGGTAGGTTGAAAACATACAAACCTATTTGCTTCAATAAAAACAATTTGAAGAGAGAGAACATCACGGATATACTTCAGAGTTAGCCTAGAGCGCTATAGTAGAGATACTTAGATTAGCAACGGTTAACGTCGGCAGACGACGCTAATTTAGGGTTACTACGATCAACTGCTATTACGCCAACCGTGTATTTCGAAGTATGGAAAATTGTGTGCTCCTTTATGTGTATGTGACGTTCAACAATGGACAACGACTCACTTCTTGCATTGGAGCCCTATTGTTATTGTTACTTTTTCTCGATGTTATTCTTGTTTTGTTGTACTGCGTCTGTCTATGTATATGTGTGCGTGTGTTTCTCTCATTCATTGCAATCATTGGCTGCGTACACCGTTCATTCGGTACGTGGATTTTGTCGCGTTTGTTCGTGTCCGTTGGTTCGATCTGTCCTTCGGTGGGTCCGTGCTTCGTTTGTTTGTGCTCGCCGTCATCAACGCTTCACGTCTCTATGGCGTATGGTCGTGCAGGTGTTGCAGATTATCGTTCTGCTGGTCCTCTGCCACGTCGGCAGGAACGGGCCGTCGCTGCGGTCACCGCACACCTGCGACCGCCACTCATCGGCCCTCGTGCGCCATGTGGTTCAGAGCAAGCTGCAACCGCTTCTTGACAGGTATTTAACATACAGGCATAAATCAACTGTGATGAACCAAATAAAGTACGAAGCCAATTGCTAAAGCAGGACTGAATAAAGCTAGTGCAGATGACAGCGCTAATGAAATAGTGGCCAGCCCACTGGGTCGCCCATTTGTCACACCGACGAAGTGTGATGGGACTGGTCGAGACGCTGTTCGTGCTTCTTAAAGGGGACTTAGCTAAGAAAAAATCAAGGGACAAGTGGCTGCGACAAAGATCAATTTGGAGATACATAATGATGAATTTCTACTCACGTCTTACGAGCTTGCGATCATATACGCATCGGGCAAGGGTTGTGTGACACTGCAAACGACAGATCCACTTACGCCGATGATGCTACTCTTTCAAAAATGATGTCGTTCGACTTCTGAATTAACTAGGCTAGCTATATCCGTCCTTCATCAGTCCCTCCCTATTGCGATCCTGCCAAGTCTGTTTGTGCTTTCGTATATTGTCCAATTCGACCAAAAGAGAGAGAGGAATGAGCGAAAATCGTCTGCTGTTAGCAGCTGAGTGACTTGGATTCACTGCAACTATTACCCTATTCCTATTAATGTTAACCAACAGTCATTATTAATTCAGGTTTGGTGGTAGTATCTTTAGTTTTGCATGCTAAAGGTTCACTGAAAAAAAAATAAATCATTAGTTATATGAGTTTTCATGTTAACGTCAGATAAATAGGTACAAGGTTATAAATAAGTCTCAATGTTGTTTATCGGCGAAGCGACAATGTTTCAAGCAACAGCTTATATATAAAGTAGGGAAAAAGTGTAAATATCTTCGAAGCACAATAGTAATAGTGTTTCACTTATGTAATTTTCTTACATTATCTGATCTAGTGCATAAACATTTCTATATATGGATGCGTATCTTTTGTGTTTCGTATGTATACGCCGTCTACGTGTCTTTGTGCTTCACGTGTGTGGGTATTGTCGGCTTGTGTTCTCTGTGTTAACAGAGATGACAATGGTGTTGCCGGTGTCGCCTAAACGCGTTAGTTGTGTGAAAGCTCGGCATGGGTGGCTCGGGCTGCTGCTACGGAGCGAAACATACGGCGGTTACGCCTCCTGCCGCTAAGGAGGCCAGCGCTCTCTTGCCGCTATGTTCCCGACCGCCGACTTCGCCGCTCAATCGCTTGCGTGTTTGTTTGCCAGCAGTCCCTGGCTGCGTTCGCTTACCTACCTGTGTGGCTGGCAGTCAACCGTTGACACGGGAACACAACGGACACATTACAACACGACTGTACATCGTACTTAATAAATTATTTATGAAGCTTTATCCACCTCGATGCTTCTCGGTAGTTGGCATGCCTACCGACGATACAGTAGCCCTGCTCACTGCTTGTTGTCTCAGTTAGCAGCTTCCTTGCGGCTAGCCGGTGTTTGATCGACGTCCCCGTTTTACGGCGGACCAGGGCGGCTGTTCTTCGTAGTTCATAGGAGTTGGTAGTTGTCCTGAGTCGTGTTCGGTTGGCACTAGCGTTCAGTGGCGTTCCATAATTCTGGCCTCTGCCCATGTTCTTTGAATGTTCGTTATGCAGCCCCTTGGAAGTGGTACTTTCGACTAATAGGACAGCTACCGCATGCACCTGACTGCTACTCTTGGTGCGTCCTCGTCTCTGTCCTGTTTATTTTCCCCTTCGTGGTAGCCTTCCTGCATACGTCGATGATAGCGGTACGAAGAATTGTCGCCCCTAGTTAACTAGCAAACCCATATGAGCTTACATCTCCTTCGTCCGTTGTCCCAAATCGGAACTATGACGGACAAAAGCTTGCCGCTTACTAGGTTGCCTGCTGTCTTCTTTAATAAAGCTCTTGCTGTTTACTTGCGGTCTAACATTGTACAGTGTATATCTCCTATGTCTGTAGGATGTGGTACAATGTGCACTTAAACAGATTTATAGGAGCGGCCGCTCGCGGGCAATTGGGGTTACACTATAAGTACAAATAACACAACGCTTATCGAAGGAAGGACAGTTATAGGAGGGCAGTGAGGGAAAATGATAATCTCGACAGCGATTAATCCAAAGCTCTACCAACTGCCCGTAGTATGTAGTATTTGCTTTCAACTGCGCGAGGAACGTGATAACACAGACGGAATTGAAACGATGGCAGGAGGGAGCAATACAATAGGCGGAGTCATATGTGAAGGATGAAAAAGAGAACGCCAAGATTTCGCATTGTTGCAGTTGTTTTCGATTAATTTACAGGTTTAGTCCACTTCGGAATGGATACTGGCTGTTGAAGACGTACCTTTGTCGATCCGTATTGAATTTGACCCTCATTTTGCTACTTCACATGACGGCGAACTCAGCAAACTACAGCCAGTGAACGAGCTCCTCAGTGTGAGCCATGTTGCAAAATGGTACACTTGGTTTAGCTAAAGACAAATTGTAATCTGGCGTGATCACGTATTTTTGACAATGGGATTAATCTGTCGCGTGAGCTGATGAGGTGAAAAGACAACAGCCTTAGGTTTTGGCTCTACTATTGCTGCTTCTGCTCCGACCGCGGCTGCTGCCCGTGGCCGGCGGCAAACTTGGGCTAAGTTTAAATGAATGCATGAATCGACTACAGTCATACGGTCCATTGCCCGCCCGCAATTCCTCATTGGCTTTATGCTAGCTTCGCCCCCCTCGCCCGTCCCTTTTAGGCTTACTCGGCTCGCGGAGCGTTCGGCCCTGCATTAGGACAACGCTCTTTGCTATTTTGTCCTGTGTGATAACGATTGTGCAGCCTGTCTGGACATTACGCTTTAGCACACGACGACTACATTTGACAGTGGTGCCCGTTAGGAGGTCGTGGGGCATAACCGCGCCCGAGAGTGGACGATCTCACCACAAACGCTGCACGTAATAACCCTGCAAAAGAATTGTCCTTCTTGTTGTTGTTGTCTGTAAAAGATGTTAGGACAATGGAAAAATTGTGCTGCAACAACGTCTGACCATGTTTCCCTTATAGTATGAATAAAATTAATTCCACTTAGTGCGCACGTTAAATTGCAAGAAACAAGCCTCGTATGAATTTAAAGAATATAGTTGAATAACGATGGCTTCATTCGTACATAATTCCTTAACTGCCCGCCGCAACGATGAAGTGTCATCTGTCGTCCTTTCAGATATTTCGTTTTATATATTTTTTTTTTGCAAAAAGCGCCAAAAAAAATTGTGCTAAATAATGAATATTCATGTTCTTTGCTCGCCTACTTTATTTACCGTATCCCGCCATCCATGTGAGGACAGCTCACATTGTAGCCCTTAGGTGGCAAATCATGAGTATGATGTAAGGTTTCCACGTCTCAAAAAAATCATCAAACTAATATCAATGTATTATATACCTCGGTAGCTCTAGGAGTTCAACACTGACTTAAGGTTATTAAGGGACTTAAGGACATAAAAAGCATTTAGTGCTAAACACCCCAGCCCAAGAAAACGTTTATCAGAGCAATCTTTACTTGTGGCACCATGCCTATTAATGGACAGTTCAGCCAGTAAATATATTACAGGAGGTAATTTCTACGAATATACCCCCGCGTTTGAAACGTGACAAAATTGCTATCGTAATCGTGTTTCTCCCCGTTTCACTCAGCAGATCGTTGTTTAGTTGAGGCGCATACACATTTAATATTGTCTGCTTCGCCAGACCCATGACACGATTCGCCTAGTCGCGACCGACCCCAGGTCCATGTCGTTAGATCATAGCAGTCGAGCGTCAGTCAGTACGGCTCTGCTTGCCTTCATTCTCTTCCTCCATCGGTTGGTTGCGTGTTCGTACGGAAGCACGCTATGATGTATTGGCAGTGTGTAGGTTTTGAGAGCTGCAGCCGCTGACGGTTTCGGCGACGCACGAGGCCGTGTCTACCTTATGATGCATAGATGTCGACATACGTGTACATTATATGGAGTTGCTTGTTTCGCTAGTTATGAACTAACCGCTAGTAGAACTCGATATCCGCCCATAATGTGGCCACAGAAAATATGCTAGAGTCCAGCAGATTATTCAGATCTGCGTCAGAATATCAAGGCAAGGCGAAAACGACGGCGAAGGTGCTTCTGCAGCTGCAAGTTTTCTGAACGGTCTGCCTTAAGGGAAAATACGTCTTCACATGAATGCGCTGTACAGACATTTACCAAAAGACAAATGCCGTTATAACTACTGGTGCTACGGATCGCGATGGTGCGGAGTAGAGCTATGGCTCAAGCGTCGGCCTGTTCTTGAAAAAGATTGTCGCTGACCCCTATCGCCGAAATTACTACACTAGTCATAGTCGAGGTGATTTTACAAGTCAAGGCCGGTCGCTACTGGATTCAAAGCAACAAACGGGATATGGGCGCTATAGGGCAACGCTGGCTGGAAATAGAGGTAGTGGGCGAGCGGTGCTTACCTTGCTCGGCTGTGTTTTGGCGCAACAGAGGATCATACAAGCCACAGGATTTTTTTGACCCTGTGATGCCTGTAAAATATCCACGTGTAAAAGCGCAGTTTGTCGCCTGCTTCCGGTAGGTGCAGGCGAGCCTACATTTACGGCTATCTCTGGGTAGCTACTTTAGTCAACAGGCTTTACGTTGTGAACTAATCTTGCCAGCGCGCATGACGTCTGCCTCCTCTTTTACCTTCAAAACTATTTGCTTCCACCAGAAGCCTTCTATCGGCTATGTCTGGCAAACACTTAAGTCAGCCGTTGGACATTTTGTTTGACAAAATGACAACTTTATCCCTGGTATGGGTTTGACACTATCCCCAGAAGCAGAATTCTTAAAAGACGCAACATCTATCTTGCTATTCAGTATCTTTTATTTGTTTATTTATCAGTATTTTTTTTATTACGCTGTATACGCAATCTACGAAAGTATTTCAAGTTTCTAATGAATTGTAAATATTATTAATTTGGTGATGCAGTTAGCAGTGAAATGGTAACCTACTACGACGACCCGCACCTAATATATTATGCGCACACATGGGGAAGCACAAATTATTA